CTTTTTTTCTTTTTTGCTTATGTGGTGCTGAGGAATCGAACCCAGGGCCTCATGCATGCAAGGCAAGCGCTCTACCACTGAGCCACCTTCCCAGCCCCCATCTTGAAACTTAAGGCTCTTGTTTCTCCAGATTTGGGGGGTAACCGCCTTTTCTAGCCTCTTGCTAATCTATTCCCCCTGCATTTTTTACATTGCATAGGCTCTGACAACGGAACGTTAGCCATTTATAGCAGACTGACTCTGTGGGTGGAACTGTTCCGGGCTTTGGAGAAGGCCCAGGCTGGTTTGGCTGTCTGGCTTGGCCAATTCCCCAACAAGCCAGTTACCTCACCTTTGCCTTCCCTTCAGCAAAAGGAGGGCTTGGTGGGACTCCAGTAAAGAACCAAGAAAGGTAAAGAAATCAGGCAAGTCTCTTACCTCTAGCATTTATTGAGGATTCACTCAACAAGGCAGCTTGCCAAATAGCTCACCTGCGTTATTTCAGGTGCTCTTTCCAGTGACCTAACCCATTACACGAGGAAACGGATTCCCAGAGAAGTTAAAGTGGCCACAGCAACACAAGAGGCCACATCTGTGGACCAGGCAGTTTAGCTCAAGAGCCTGCACCTTGGTCCACCTTGTGTGCACATGTGTGTGTGCGCGCAAGTGTTTGCACAAGTGTGCGCACAGGTACGAGGGCTTAAATGCGGAGCCTGGGTTGTTGATCCTTAGCTTTTTCACTTAAGGCTGACACTCTACTACTTGAACCACACATCCACTTACAGTTGTTGTTTTCTTTTTCTCACTGACTTTCCTGCCTAGACTGGCTTCATGCCTCCATCCTCAGATCTCAGCCTTCTGAGTAACTGGGGTTATAGGCGGGAGCCACCAGGGCCCAGTCCTTGGTCTACCTTTTCCCTGGCTTTTTGGGCCTGTAAGGCTGTGGCATTGTTGTTCTGTAAGTGAGCTGATTAGTAAATTGGTTCAGCTTAGACTCCAGACGGCTGGGAAATTCTATTTTCTGTTTCCTCTGGAACAGGCATTGGGACACTGGCTTCTGTGTGGCTGCCTGGCTGATCCGGTGTGATCCGGTCTTACTGATGCCTGTGTCACTGAAGTAATGCATTGGTTCAGGCCCTCCCCCCCCCTTTGCATGTTTGTTTCCTTTTCTCCCACCCCTGCAAAAAAAGAAAAAGAGAAAAAAAAACAGTAAAGTTGATTTGAAGGAGTACCAGCCCTTCTCTGCCTTTTGTGATCATACACTGGAAGACTTTGAGAGATTGAGTGCGTGGAGTGCTTTGAAGCTTGATGAGCTTTCTCTATGCACTTCATTTAACCCAAGAGGAAAAAAAAATGAGGGGAGAGAAAGGTATCTTTTGCTCAGGATCCTATCAGCACAGACTCAGCTTTCAGATTTCAGGGTATCCGATTTCAGTGCGCATGGGAAGTGGTGAGCAAGCATTTATGAAGTGTCGTGTGTGTGCCAGGCACGGGGCCAGGTCCCGGTGATGGTAAACTCACGCAGAACAAGAAGTTGGGTGGCCCACAACTGTCGTGATCCCTGAGTTAGGGAGGGC